TCCTCTTTTTTCCCAATTGAGTTAGCTAGAGTTTATCAATTTGGAAGGCACTCTCTAGTTCCTAAAGATACGGCTGAGTTTTATTGTCAGCGAAGATTTCTCTTCTCTAGAATCACTGAAAAGGTTGTCGTAGCTCTCATTCAGAAAGAGAGCTGAAATAAGATCCATGGCTGCTATCTTAGGAAAGCTTTTTTGGGAAGCTAATTTTCACAAAATATCCCCACACTGGGAAAGAAGTGGAACTGCTCACACTGTGTAACAATGTTTGGTATTTTAAATAACTAGAGGATTAAGCCTAACGTTGCTGTCAAGTACAATGACCCTCAATGTTAAAGACAGTTAAGTTTCTTAAAACTTTTTTTATTTGGGAATAAATATACATTCACTGAAGTTGTAAAGACAGTAAAAGAGGATCCTTCACCCAGCTTCCCCCACTGGTTATATTAACTATAGGAAAGTTTCAAAACCAAGAAACTGGCATTGGGACAATACATGTAGATAGTCAAATGTCATTTTATCACATGTTCAGATTTCCTATTAGTACAATTAAGACACGGAACTGGTTTGGTGATGTAGCTCAGGGGTAGACTATCCATTCAGATTATGTCTCAATAGTTTGTTCTACTATATGGCTGAGTGTTATTTATAGTATGGATGTACCACCGTTTGCTTAACCATTCACCTACTGTTGGACCATTTGGTTACTTCCAGTTTTTGTCTATTACAAATGCAGTACTATGAACAACTGGGCAGAGATTTTTTTGCATGAACATAAGATTCCATTTCTCTGAGAGAAATCTTTAGTAGTGAAATTATTGGGTGTCATGGCAATCTCAACTTTAGTTTTATAAGAAACCACCACTTTTGTTTCCCAGAGTAGTCATACCACATTACCTATCCACACAGGAGGCACAGAAGAGGTCTAGATTTTGAAGCAAAAATGAAGCACTGAGGATGAGTCACCTATAGTCTCTGAGTGGGTAAGGAAAACAGTAATAAACAATCTGGGAGAAAAAAAAACTAGAAAATTCTACAGGTAAATTAACACAGAGATTCATATGTCTTAAAAAATTACTGGGGAAAACCCTCTTACCTTCTTTAAACTGTATCCAGCATGGAAAATAATTGGAGGCAACAAAATGTTGAAAAACACCTCTGGGTCAAACGTTACCTAAGAGTTTAAAAAGAAAAAAGCCAATTTTTAGTATGATGTTATAATATTTCCTTAGTATTGGAAGCCAGTGGTTAAAACTTAAATATCTGTAGCAAATAAAAGCAATGTGACAAATCAGAGAGTCAGTCCAGAAGAGAAGCCATAATTTCCCTGTAGACTGGCATGTTCTTCTCCTCACATTACCTCTGATCTGTGATCTCACTGTGGTGGTTTAATGCATATTAAGACACAACAGTTTAGTGCACTTTTGAGAATGCACAGAAAACTACTAACCGATGATTTTCTTAATTTTTATCACACCTTTATAAAGGCTCAACTGAAGCAAAATGCTGTGATGATTCTTTTTAACTTCCTGGATCCTCTCACATAATCTTTTATAGACATAATTCTGAATCTGAGTGCCTTTTAAGTGAGCAGCATTCTTCATGCTTGATGTGGCCTAGGTCAAAATTAACGGTATGTCTAGTGGATTTATGGCTACCACCATAAATTCAGTAACGCTAAAGGGACTGAAATTATCTGTAGGGTTGATATAAAGAAATCACTCTGAAACTTCTAGACAGCAAAGTCTTATTACATCCAGAAGAGAATCAGGCATTCTATAAATACATTAATCATTTTTAACAAATTTGTGTGGGTAGACTAATTGGTTTTTATTTCAATTAATTATCTTAAATCTCTATTCTATTATTAAAAGTTAGCTTTTTTCCTTTGGAAATTTGAGATGTTAATAGCCTAGTTAAAAAAATAATGGCTCTTTAAAATTACGTTTTATTCTATCTTCTTGCTAAAGATAAGAGTAGCCTATACAGCAGGGAATGTCACAATGAGTAGGAGCCTTGGCTCTCCAAAATTAGTTAAAGTGAACTAAAAATAAGTAACTAAGGGGGAGCTGGGGACTCAGAGTCAGAGAAAGAAAAAAGTACAAAGTGTTGGTCAGTATGCATAAGACTAGGCGAGCTGTGTTTGTTGGCTGGTGATTAGCAGTTAGGACTCTGTCCTCCCATTTAATCTGAGAGGAGACTGAAATCTTGTTCTTTTGATGGTTATGTACATGAGAATAGATTGGGATCATTTCCCCTTTTCCCCTTATCCTACCCAACCCAATCTGAAGAATCAAGCTGCCATTTCAAAATAGCCACTAGTGCGGTTTTTACACTGGGTGTCTCTCACAATTGCAATTAATTTTACAATATTTGTGGAAATCCCACTCTTTCTTAGGAAGTGCTGGGAGTAAAGGCCACACTACTATTGCCATTGGGATACCTATAAGATGACTGTATTTAATACTCCAAATTGAGAATAACTTTTCTTTAGGATTAGTACACTCCAAGAACAGATATTTAATGTTTGGAGCACTCTCTATACTCTACTTTGCCTGCAGGTCTTCATGCACATTAACCTTGCTCTATATTTAAAAAGGCTCTCCACAACCTGGATTTCCCAGACAACCTACTAAAGTCTTCTTGTTGATAAGCCCCGGTCTATATGGTAATGGAATATATGTCAATTAATACAGATCTTGTTTATCCCAGAAATTACTCACATGAGGAGATACATAATCCTTTTTCTTGTGGAATATTTTTGCTACCCCCACACCAAATAAAAAAACAATGTTTGGGCTCAAATTGTAAGACAAAAAGCCCTTCTTCCCTTGAAAGTTCATTAGGTCTTTGTCATTAATCATAATTAGAGTATGCACTCAAATATTATTTGTAGAATATGGCAAAAGAACCATGGAGAACTAAGAATTGCATTTCTGAATACTAAATAAATGAGCTAAAAGTAAAATCAATAATCTTTTAAGAAAAAAAATCTTATCTAATCCAATAATATGGAAAACAGAAAGTAGTAAGGAAGAGACACTACTAAGACAAATGAGGTAAATGGGGACATGCGATTGTCCTGCATAATCAGTGGTCCACATTAGCTATAGATCCTAACAAGCTTAAGAAAGTCACAAAGCTGAAAGGCTCCAATTAAAATCTGTTTTCTTCTCCTCATTATGGCCTGAAGTATTTCTAGCAAAACTGAGAACTAGGAATGTTATCGATATTCCAGGAGTTTGCAAGGATTTCTCTCCACAAGATCGAAACAGAGCCATGGAATGAACCACCATGCCACTGAGAAGTATGTGCCAGCTCACCTTCCGCAGCATGTCATTCTGCTCTACACTGTTGACCTTGCCAGGGCTGATTTCTCCTTTCAGAGTGTATTCAAAGAACTTCCCACTGACATTCACTAATAAGGTGCTGAAGGCCCTGTCTTCCTGAGTACAGCTGAGTGACTTGTCACGGCCGCTGGTGGCAGGAGTGCCATACCTCAAGATGACCCCAACGATGAGCCCTGAAATAGAGCAGGGAAAGAAAAAAAGACATCAGGCCTGTGGAAGGATAGAGTATGGAAATAATGGCACTGTTAATTGCAAAGATTATGAGATGCAAAGGAAATCATAAAAACCAGGTCGAGGTTGTGTATTTAGCAACAACTCTGCAGTCCTTCAGAAAGGGTTCATCACCATCTACACTGGTCTTATTTGAGTCCCTTAGCCACCAGAAGGACAAGGTGGAAAGGTACGTCTGGTGGTTATTATGGTACTCTAAGTAGTTTTAACACATAATCATGTCTTATTTCCGGGCTTTTGGTGGAGGACAATGGAATGATGAGCAGTAAAGTCTTTTCTGCTTAGGACAGCACAAGGAGGAACTGCTGAGCCCTTGATTTTCCCCAGAAGCAACCCTCAAGCCAGCCCTACTGCCATCTGCTAGCAAGGCCCAGGCCACTGGAATTTCTGGTTGCTATAAATGCAACTTGCTTTGCCACACACTGGGGCAGGCTGGGGAGCTGCTTTTGCTTAGGTCACTTCAAACACTGGGTATCATGGAGAAAGTAATTATACCCCTTGGGAAACTAAATGCAGCATGTAAATTTGAGCAGTCATGATTCAGGGCTGGAGAGCTGGCTTCTTGAGGTTGCAGCTATGAAACAGCGAAGACAATCAGCTGCAAGTGTTTAAGTCTCATTTCATTCTCAGTAGGGTTTTCCAATTAGAAAAAATAAAAACAGCAAAATTGTATATAAGTATTCAATTCCATGAATGAGGAAGGAGTGTCACTTCCCTGATCCTGGACATGAGTCACATATGCCCAAGCAAAAGTGACTAAATCATGGAAGAAAAAATAACCATAAATGACTACCAGACACATGTATAATTATCTCTTGGGAAAATGTCAGACTTCTCTAAATTCAGTTCTTTGCTAGGAACATTATAAGAACAGCAAAAATGCCCTCCCAGCTCAATGACCATTAATGGGGCAAATTACATCTGAAAAAGAACAATGTTTACTACATTCTAAGTGCTACAGTTTGGATCTTAAATGTTCCCCAAAGGCCCATGTGTTAAGGGCTTGGACCCCACCTTGGTGACACTGGGAGACAGTGGAAGCCTTTAAGAGATGGGGCCTAGCGGGAGGTCTTAGCTCACTGGAGGTGTGCCCTTTAAGGGAGTATTGAGACTTCTAGCTCCTTCTTCTTCCTGTTTATCATTCCTGACCCTAAGCTGAACAGTTTCACTCGACCACACACTCCCACCACGATGTGCTGCCAAGGCCCGAGCAATGGGGCCAATCAGTCAAGGACTGAAGCCTTTAAAACGGTGAGCCAGAATAAACCTTTCCTCTACTTAAGTTAATTATCTCAGGTATTCTGTTACAGGAACAGCTCACTAACACCCTATATACAATGTTCTATAAGGTCACCAAGATATATTTAAATTCATGAAATACTAAATAGAAAATCATATATAAAATCTACTTTGAATGTTCTTATTTTGATTTGTTTATGTTTGTGATACTGGTATGCTGCTACTGCTGTATTTCTTTGTTTCTCATTTACTACTCTCTTTAAAATAAAAAAAAACTAACAATAAAATCTAGAAAAATAGTTATTTAAGCCCAAATGTGTCTGTAGTACATTATTATATACCTATATTAACAGATACTTACATTTTTTTTACTTTTATGAAACTATCACATCTTTAAAGTTTTTTTACAAATTTAAATGCGATTCTTAGCCTCAACCTGACTATATAATAATTTTAAAAACTTTAAAGGTGTATTAGAAAAATTAGACTTTTTATGAGATGGTTTTGGGAAAAAATAAAAATCACATAATGCAGATGGTTCTAGCTGGCTTAGTGAGTGCAATAAAGGTAAACACTTATGGTTTTTAGTTTCAGCCTTCTGTTCAGGCTATATAGAATTACACCTCACCCTCTGTCCACTTGTTCAACTGTGCTCTTAGCAGTCTCAGTTACAAAAGGGAAACTGGCACTGGACTAATAGGAGCTTGTTTCTTTGATGACCCTCGGGGAATTTTAAGCCCCCATGTGGCTCATGATTGTATTCTTTCCTCATGGTACCAATGTTGGCGTGGGCACATACATTAACTGTACATAGGCTTTTCTTGTTTTGGATGATGTCTTTCAAAAATTAGAAAAGTTGGCAATTGTATACCATCAACACAACATGCTAATAGTTGTGACGTGAGTTTTTGCATGCCCACAAGTTTTAAAAGTCTTGAATTTTTGCCCCTTTGAACTCACCATTTTGTCTTTAGCCACATCAAATGTCAAAGGAATTTCATTCATATTTGCTTTTCATAAAAGTTTATGGATTGTGAAATCAGTGATTCTCTCTTCATTAGCTGACATCTGTGCTATTTTTTTCTGGCCTACATACATAGTTATTTTGCCATGTTTTATGCCATTTTTTACCTGAAAATGTTGTTTTTATATATTGCAATAAATTAATCCTAACCCATTATTTGTTATTTTATG